TTCATACAATTTCTACCAAAAATAAAATAGTGTAAGAAGTACCAAGAAATTTCAAACCTCTAAGATCTACAAAAATTTATTTAATCAAATTTATGCAAATAAACTATTTATTCCCCCAAAAATGTTTAACATAACTTTTCAGGATAGTCAAAGATGACAATCGGAAGATTTTAGATTCGAAACTTCATTTTCATTTTGCAAAAAACTTCAAACGCGATTTACTCAAAACTATACCTTTTTTTATACACTGTTTTATTTCTCAGCCGACGAAATTATCAAGTTCACGTGCTGAATGTAATTTCAATCTAATATCGAAATTTTGTATTTGATAGGAAAATATTTTTAAAACTATTTCATTCTATTTATAGAAAAAAAATTATTTTTCGTTTCTATTTTTTTTTTTTCTTAATTTCTACTTTTCCTTTTATGGAAAATTGCTTACATAGAATTTTTGTGAATTACGTGTAAAATAAAATATTTTACAAATATAGAAATAAAGAGAAATTGAATTTAAGTGCGTGACCTAGGAAAATATACAAAAAAAAAAAAATAACAAAATAATGTTAAAATCAATTAATCATATGGAATGGAAAACTTTTTGTAAACATTAAATAGAATTTCTTACAAAAATTCTATTTAAAATCAGTGGTTTACGGAAAAATTGTTACTATTCAAAATTCTATACCAAGTAGAAAATTCATTCATAAAAAATTTGAAAAAAAAAAAATTGTATTAAGCTTATAAAGAGCAAACTTTTCCAGTTTGATTAATTTACAATTAAAGTATTTTGGAACAAAAATACTAGGAAAATATTAAGCCGACTCACCGATATCAACTAAAAGTAGTTTATTTACATTTCTTTAGGGAAATTAACTGACGTTGAAAACTCGAGATGTGAAATTTGGTGAGTTTGCAAAATTCATTTTATTACATTTTGCAAACCCACCACCAAAACGTAATAAAATGGATTTTGCAAACCCACCTTGTTCTGTGAATAAACCCATCATATTCATTAAGAAGGTGCATCAGTCTACTCAACTGCCCTCACCTTTCAGACTCAATCTCCTCATGTGACTCCTGAGTCGGCAGTATCCCGTAAGAAGACTCGTGAGCTTGTTCTTACATTCTCATTTTCTTGCTATACCACTTCTGATTATAATCGCCCAGAAGCTCCTTGGCCTACCGTAGCGTGAGACGTCCACATTTTCTAATCTTACTACTGAATCTTAATTTGCATTCTTAAACAAAAACTTTTCTCAAAAAATAACAGTAAAATATAAAACTAAATATTTTTTTTTGTAAGCAAAACAAAAAAATTGCGTAATAAATTTTTTTTCTCGTAAACTTAAACTTTCAAACATCTTTTTAATCTTCAAAATCATAGTATGTTTATTTCAAAAGAAAAAACAAGAAAAATATGTAATAATATTATGCAAATGCATTTTAAAATATAAAATCATAAAAATTTTTTTTTTTACTATTTTTAATTACTTTTGTTTTAATTAACTGTGTTTGCATTAACATAAATCAAGAGTAAATTCTACGTCGTATGAATCATTTTAATTTACGGCGTTTTTATTTACAAGTTAAACAGTCAGCATTGTTTTTTTACTTCATTTTAAAAAATATTTATTGCTTTAAATATTCATGACTAAAGATAACAAATAAAATCCAAATTTTAAAACTGCTTGATATATTTAGATTAGCCCCAGTATCTTAAAGTAATAAATGAGATGAACTTAATCATGACAGAATGAAAACAAAAAACAAAAATAATTAAAATTCTATATATGTACATAAATATTAAGTTGTTAAGAAATTGAAATATTCTGTTAAAGATTTTAGAAAAACTATTTTTGTTAGAAATACACAAAAATTCTAAAATAAAAGAATTCTTTGACGTTGATACTCTCTCTCTCTATTCTGCAAAAATTAAAACATGAATTGAAAATTTGAGTTAATTTTAATTTCACTCTTTAAATTACTCTCAATTTCATATTGAGCATTTTCGTTTTATAACTAAAAAAAAAAGTGGAACAAAAAAATTTGTTTTAAAATTTGTAATTTTTTACAAAAACCCTAAAAAAAATTCAAAATTCATCAACAGGTTGTTGCTCATTGATTTTATTAAGGTTATAATATGTTTGCGAACACATACATATGTACAAATAATTCATCAGCAATATTTACAAGTTGACATTTTATAGATGACACATTGAATTTATTAATATGGTTGTCTACAATTCAAGAAATTAATATGATTTGAATCCTAAAATTCACATTCGGTATATTCGGTAGTAAGTTTTAATTTCACTATTAAAATATAAAAACTAAAATGTTTGAATGTCAATATTAAAAATATTGCATAAGATTTTGCAAAAAATTTTGTACGTTTTTTATTTATTATAAAAACGTGACAAAAATTTTCAAAAAACAAAATAAAAAACAACTACAAATTAAAAGAGCGTTTATTACGTTTTTTGCTCATCGTTTTGGTTTTATGATGTAAATTAAATTTAATAAATTACTAACAGAGGGCAGTTCAATAATAAATTTTAAGTTTTGAAAATAAAAATGAAAATAGTAAAAATTAGATGAAATATAACCGGAACAAAAGCAGATTATTTTTGACAGTAGAAAGAAGGAAAGATGAGAAAAAATTTATTTTTTCTCTAATAGAATTTTATTATTATTTTAGTTGAAAAATTGATTGAAAAAATCTTAAATAAAAAAATCAACAATAAAATATTCTATTTAAACAGTGCTGGAATCTAGTTTTTCGCCTACTTTTTCCCCCACAAAAAAGAATTGGAGTTAAATTGTATTTACAAACTCAACTAACTTTTTGATTTACTAGGATTATTTAAAGAAAAGCTTGCATATAGCATATTTACTACTCGCTATTATACATGGATCCTCCTCAAAGAAAAAAAAACACACGAACTTATTCTGATAAAATCCCATTATAAAAAAATTTAAACTTAAAAAAAAATATTGTACATGATTATGTAACGTTGATTAAATTTTGAAACCTACATGGAATTAATTATAAATTACCCATTAAAATAAGCAATAAAAGTTATAAAAAACCACAGATTTCGTTATTTTAAGGTATAAAAAGTTTATTGCCACAGTGCCTAATTTAAACGTTTTATTCAATCACTTAGTAAATTTATTATAATGTAGTAAGTTTCGGAATAATATGTTTTTTGTATATGTGTACTTTATGCTTACGTTTTATGTTTACTACTAATTCTTAAACTCTGATACAATGACTTCAAAAAGTAGTTTAGAAAAAAAAACAACCTTGATTTCTTCTATTATTTCTAGTATTAAACTTATTAGAATAACAGAAATCTAAGAGACGGCCATATAATAACCAAATTAAATAGTAACTAGCCACTTGTTCAAATACATGTAAGACAAATTTATAAGAATCTTAAATATTTTATAAAAAATTAAATTCATATTCTCCAGTTGATTCAATCTTCTTTCAATATTTTTAAAATATTGTAATTAAAATTTAACATTTAATTTTATTCTATATTTATTTTATTTAATCAAACGAATACAAATTAATTTAATTAAGGTGATTAAATAATTTAAATCAAACCTAACCTAAAAAGTATCATTTGCGTTACTACAGTTCATTCGATCAACATTATTACATCATGTCAGAAATACAAATGAAATACAGACGTCAACAATCATATTAACATATTTAATTAAAACATATTATTAAAAATGATTTAATAGTGCTGTTGTTGTTGTTGTTTATACAAATTATCAAATCATGCTAGCTAGGAATATTTGATTTTCTCAGATAAAAAGTCTTGTATAATTTGAAAAATACACTTTTGTTCTAAAATATTTATCAATTAAATATTTATTATTAATTCAATTGATTTTTTATTCTTTACTTTTAATACGAATAAAGCATATTTTGCTAAATCAAATATAAAAAAATTTATTGTAATACAATTGAGTAAAATCTTAAAATTAAATGCCGCTATTTAGAAACAATTAGTATAGATATGCGCACATGTGTATCATATACATATGTGTGTAACATTATAAAATTCGCGCTTTGAATAGCGAAATAATAACATGTTTTGCGATAATATAATCAGATATGTGATCTAAATAAACAAAGTAAACATTAATGAAGAAAAAAAAACTACTTCCAGTAAAAAATGTTCTTCTATTCTTTAAAAAATTCAAGAAAAAAAATATTCTTAAGAGTAAAAGTAAAAAATGAAAATTGTGAAAACAAAATTAATTATACATTTTAAATTTTGCATTCTATTCAATGCATTTTGTAACAAAATATTTATAATATTCTGACTAGTTTCACTTGTAAGAAACCTTAAAAATATTAAATTTCAAGTTACCAGTCTTCCGTGAAATATAAGTTACTTGTTGATGTCATGCTTTTTATCTTCTTGAAGCGACCAGCTACTTCAATAGATTAACATATTTTGTTTTGGTAGATAGTAAGAAAATATCCGCGTGACGGTAGCAAATAATTTATAAATTTTTGTAATAACCCCCTATATTGTACATTATAATTTTAATAATTTTTTGAAGAATACTTTTTTCTAATCTTTTAGTTTGCTAATCTGTATGTACTTTTCACAAGAAAATTAAATAAATTCAAGATTAAAAATTATTTTTAGTACATAAATCTTCCACCGCAAATTTAAACAACAAACAAGAGGTATACAAACTTAACCAACAAAATAAACCAGGTATATGAAAATTACTTTTTTTAAAGAAAAAATATTGCATATTTCGCTTAAAAAACCAGACTAAAAAACCAATTAAAAATAATTGGCGACATCAAAAGTCAATTAAAATAGATGTTGCCTCAAAAAATATTAGACTTCTGGACCTAAAATTTTCTCGCATCAAAAAATTAAGATTACACAAATTTCTCAAGTTTCAGTTTATTGAATACTGAATTACGGGAAAAAAAATTTTACTGAAAGTTAGGCACTAACCTTTCTTGATGTTCAATGCCTTCCAATCCATTTTCTATAACGCTTTTATATACATCGGTTCTTCCGCGATCTCCTAAAAGACGTTGTCTATCTAAATCACCCTGAAAAAAAATATAAAATAAATACTCATGTTACTACTTCCTTCATTCAATATTTCTTACCTGCATTTGAGAAAAAGAATGTTGTCCAATATTTAAATGAGAACTCATACTTGAATTAACATTTATATGACCTAGCTCTAAGTCGGAATAGTTATCGTCAAAATCGTGGGGACAGTTATCAGAATCATCATCAGCTGAAATTAAAAATACAAGAATCAAATATAATTGAATATCGCAATTGCATGTAACTTTTTTAAAATTAAAACATACATGAAAATTCGAAAGAATCGTTTATCATAGCTTTCACTTAATATTACAAAAAAATAAAATAATAATAACAATAATAGTAATAATATGAATAGTGTTATAGTCAGAATAAGATTTGAAATTGTCTGGTAAGAAAACTCCTTTGTAGGAAAGCTTACAAATATAACTTGTATAAGATAATGGAAAGAATTCAACTTTTTTAATACAATTTTTAAAACAATTTAATTATTTTGCTTTCGTTTTTTACGTTTTTCTCTTTTTTTTTTGTTTTTTGTGCGACAGATGTGCTCTATCATATATTTTACATTTTTATTTGAGCTAAGATAAAATACCTTATTTTGAAAGCAAATGATAAACACTTTTTCAGTATGTTAAAATCATTACGGCAGAGTGTTAAGTAAATTTAGTAGAAAAATAAACAAAATAAAAAAAAATGGCAAAAAAAATAATAATGGTTAAATTTTAAACTTCTCAATAATTTCCAGTTGATTTTTAAATTTTTTCAACTTTTTATTAAGGTTAGTATTGAACATTGTGTGCAAAGGTTGAACACCAAGCGAAGCAAATTAATTAATACACTTGTTAGCACAGGATAATTAAAAAATAATTAAGAAAAAAAAATGAAAATTCGTGAATATTCATAGTAAACAATATTTGATTTTAAATAAACACTAAACTTCTTAAATATTAAAAAAAGTCAGAGAATTTTTGTAAAAAATAAAGAATAAAGATAATCTAATTTCTAATAATGTTTTTGTTCTTGGACTAAATTGTTAATAAATGTAAAATGCATTTCCAAATAAATAAATATTTACATTAAAATATTTATTAAATTTTTTTAGTTCAAAACAAAATTTCAGAGAATTACAAAAGAAATAATTTTGAAAAACTAATCCACACTAGCTATCTATGTGTATTTGGTATTTAATTTGTAAAAAAACTTACACAAAACCTTAGAATGTTGTGGTTCTTTATTCATTTTAGAAAATATTCAAAAAGAAATTTTGTAACTTTTATTAAAATGAAAAAACAAAAAAATTTAAATTTTTAGTATTAAAACACTAGTGCAATAATGATTAAAGACTATTATGTCTCGTTAAAATTCAGCGTAATTGACATATCTGAATATCTTTCACCAATAATGTAATCTTAATTAAGATATGAGGAAGATAGGAATGTTTAAAAAACAAAGATAAGAAAATTCTATTTAAAATAATGAATGTTACCGACAATATAAAATCTCATATGAAAAGAAAAAATATATTTTTAATGTTAATGCAGAATTTTTAAAACTAAACTGAAATTAAAAAAAACAAGGTGGATTACAATTTTTTCAATATTGATTTCCCTATTTTGAAGCACAAAAAAGATAGTTTTGGAGAAATAGGGATGAAAAATTGGTGAATGTGCATTTTATAATAAGAAGACATTTTGCTCGAAATAAAATTTTTTTGATAATATTATACTTTGTACCGGAAATTAAAAAAAAACAACCTTATAACTTTTTACACTAACTTCATACATCTATTAAAATTTAGAGCTTCGGATTTAATAAATAGGAGTAAAAAAGTGTAACACAATTGTGCAAACGATGCGATTGGATTGTTTTTTCTTCGCGTCCTTTTGAATATAGTCTACAATGAATTATGGAATTTTTGAATATTAAGGACAAGAACATACATAATCATCAAAACCCAAATTTTTTAAGTAACATATTTATGAATTCTATGAAGAGTATCTATAATATTGAAAAGATTTGTATGCGTTCACTTTTTATTTTTTTAAGAACTCATATGAATATAAGTGATATGAACCAGGTTACCCAATTTTATTATTCAAATGTTTTATTGTTTTAGAAATATATTTCTTTATAAAAAAGATACTCACCCATTGGAGGTATTAAAACGAATGTTAAATATCCAAAATAAATTTTCCTCGAAAATATGAATAAGTGAAAATAGGAACTAAAACTCCAAAATTTCAATCATAGTAGGAAGTTGGAAATGGAGTTGTTATGTTAACACACCTAAAATTGAAAGAAAAATATTAAAATTTACTTATCAACAAAACGGTCTTAACGTAAAGATAATTGTTAAAAAAAAGGTTTCAAAATTATAATAACTATTAAATATTTTGTAAAAAAAAAAGTTATTTTTAAATCCATTGGACGTAAAAATATTGCTAGGTTCCTTCATATGCATCTAAGTAAGTATACCTTCAGAAAAAACTGTAAAAATCTATTTCATTAACTTTTGAATTTTATTTAATTAATATTTTCTATTATAAAATCCAAAGTTATATTTTTAGAAGATATTGTAAGCAATCGAAATTAAATATTAATCAATAGATAAATAGAAATATTAAGTTATTATTTAACATTATTTAAGGGAAAACCTTAACAAATTCACTAGACACGCAAACTTTATGTTATTTTTTTACATTTATATTTTTAGGGTAAAATCATTTTGTTTTTATTTTAGCATTTGAAATGAAAGGGCAAAATTTCTACCAAGGTTATTGGTATCATCTAGTACCAGATTGTTTTATTTTTACGTCATAAGAATCTCTTACTTAACCTTTGTATTACCAGTTTTAAAGAATATACGATTCATTCGCCTTCATAAAAATTTAAAAATTACTTATATACCTACCTACCTACTCTTTGTTTAAAAATAAATGGCTATGGAATTATATAAGTTACAAAAAAATATTTTATCTCTTCTATGAATCATACAAACATGAAAATTTTAACATTAACTCTTTTAATGTTAGTATGTAAGTAGGTATCTCTCTCAATCCATATGAAAAACAATGTACAATTTATTACTACTATTAAGCAATCTTAGTAGAATTACGTATAACAAAATCATATTTGTATGTTTTATGTAAGTTCTAGTTGCTACTTTGCAATTTTTATTCTTCCATTTACCAAAAGATGTTCTTTTTTCTTTTTACATAATTAATTAAGCCACTGACAATACATTTAAATATGCTTGTTAAGGTGAAATTGTAAATCTAATTAGTTTAACTTATCTAATTCAGATTTAGAAAATTTTTAGTTGAAAAAGAGGAATTTTTTATTTAGTTTAAAAAATTCAACAATTTTACACATTTTTATAGAAAACAATTCTATAATTACAATAATTAGTAAGTATAATGTGAGTGTTCTTTACTCAACAATGTTTTTACAAATTTCTTATTTAATAAATTGATTTTTCACAAAACTAACCCGTTTTTAGATTTTTTGTAGTAACAAATGATGATATAATTGTGTAAAGTTTTAAAAATATTAAATATTAATTTAAAAAATAAAAAATTCAATTGAATTTGTATATTTTTTGCACCAACTTTTTTGTACTTTTTTTTCCTTCCTGCACTTTTTGACGTTTCTTACAATTGCGCATAACGAAATTCTAAAAATCTTCAAATGTCAAATATTTAGAATGTTGAGATTGCCAGTACAAAGGAAATATCTAAAACTTTTTTAAAAACAAATGAAAAATTTTATTAACACCAACAATACCAACACTGTCATTAACTTTGATGAGTTTTAAGAAAACAAGGAAATTTAATTTTTTACGTGAAACTACATTTTTTTTATGTTAAATCGTTCCTTTTGGTTTAACTTGAGAATTTAATTCTAGTAAAAAAAATAAAGAGAAAAATAAAGGCTTGTCAGATTGACTTCAATTTATGATTGGATTGGAAACGGAGTCTAATGTCCAAATAATAAGTATAATATCGAAAAAATATATATGTATGTAATTTAATACAATATATCTAATTTTTCAAATATGGCGACTGGAATTGGTTTGCACATTCCCGAAAACTTTTTTAATTTCCACAATATACTCAGAAGCAATTTTAAAAATTTTATTTTGCTTTTAAGTAAGAAGCTTTTTATATGAAAAAAAAATTATTATAAAAGTTTTAAAATTAAAATTTAGTACAATATGCATATACTTATATATTTTGTAAAAATTACTAAATCATATTTTCGATAAATGTCAAAATAAATTTAACATGGTAATGTCAACATAGTCTGCTAATTTAGTACTTAAAATAAAAAATTGCATAAATATAGGAAAGTGATTTATTTTAATTGCTCCTTACAAATGGTGGGAGTCCTAGCTCATATCAAATGCGCAATTTTCCGTTTCAAATTTGTTTTAACTATTTTAAAATGAACAAAAATTTTAAATTTAATTAAATATTTTATAACCTTTAAAAAAGCATATCTATCTTTGAAGTTTCAAATTGATTTACCTATACTCTATAGGGTATGTTTTCTAAAATTTTGTATGTACTAAGTTGCTGTTCGTTATGCTATTTATAATCATGCCATTTCAGTTATGTTAATTAATCATGCCATTTCAGAAATCTTAATTATCTACTAGAACCTGAAGATTGAATTAATAACAGAAAAAATAATATTAATAGTTCTGAACTGTCATGAGTATAAGAAACGAGATCTTGACGAATTAATATTTTACATAACTCGCACTAGAATCCATGTTATGGTCCATAATACTTTATTTCTTTTTATTTTATTCTAAGAAAAAAAAATTAAGTCTTCATCTTATTTTGTATTAAGCTTAATGTAAACTTTATGCATTATGCATAATATAAAATTAGTTGGTATAAAATAATTAAAAAAATGTGACAATTTTCGCAAAATAAATTAAGTTTACACGTAAGTATACATTCATATTCTTACTGCAATCAAATTTTTTATTATATTGGATATAGGATTACAGCGTAGAAAAATTGAGAACAAAATAAACCAAGGTTTGTTGTATTATACGATATGGAACGATCAACTGTATAGAAATTATAACGATGAAATTCAATGCCCTAAAAGTGTATTGACATTCATTCTTTTTTATATCATAGTCATATATAGTATATATATATATATATATACATCTTAGATAGTGTGAAACATTTTACACTTAGAAACACTTAGAATCGGCCTATAAGAAAATAATATATTAAAACTATTCATTTATATACATATAATTAATTTGAAGTTTTCAAAATTTCAAAAAAAAAATAAAATTTGTTTTCGGTTTCGCATACTCCCATTAACAAATTAGTTAGGTACTTAAGTTTTTTTCTTATAAGAGAGCAGAGCCCGTTTAATAACCTGTAAGTTTCCTACAAAATGCAAAATGATTTTTTACCGAAATAAACTGAAAAACGCTACAAAAGGAATTGTATACTATTTAATGAATCGATTCCATAGTAGTTCCATAGAAGTCCATAGTAGCTGATAATATGTAGTCAAAGTGTAACTTGATATAACATTTGGCATAGCTATATCTCCTAAATGTTTAACAAGTTTAAAATCTAATGATACCCTCACAGTATATGAATAAAGAAATAATATAATACTAATTGAAATTAAAGACTTGTTCTAGTTTAATTATTAAAAGCGTGTGCTTACGATTAAAGTTTAAATTTTTAATAACATTATGTATTTTTATTTTTCAACATTTTTTATTTTTGCGTTTGCAAGCGATTTCATTTTTCATAATTTCGTTCACCTTTTTTTATACAGATATATGAATGTATATGTACCATAATATGTATTATAATGAATTAAAATATCAAAAATGATTTGAATACAAAACAAAAAGTTAGTCTTTCAGTAATTGTTGTCAAGTATTTTTGTACAAAAATATTCGAATATTCACATGCAATATTATTTGCATAAATATAGGTACATATATATACGTATGTACTTATATTATAAATACGTATAATATAAGTACATACAATGTATGTATATATATATATATTTGGAAAATAAATGCAAGTTTCAGCTGAATTTAACAATATCAGATATATTGTCGAACGTGTGTACTTATAATAAGGGTAGTGAACTTTGTAGTAAGATTTAAAAGAAATTCAGGAGTGAAATTGATCTTTGTTCATATAATAACCGTAAGCTACAGAAACGCAGAAATTATACAAATGATCCAAATCTTAAATTTTAAATTATTGTCATTAAACTACTTAAATTGCATTATACAATAATTGAATACAGAAGCATTAACGTCATGTTCGAATTTGACGACTAATTAGTTTACTTAAGATAAGTAATTTTTCAGAAAATATATTTCAGAATTATTTACATAAATGAAAATTCGAATTTTGTTGATTCCGAGAGAGGATAACCGCGGGAAAAAAAATTATACAATAAATAATGAAAAATGACACCACAAAAATTTTAAGGAGTCATATAAAACCAAAAAAATCGCATAGAATTGTTTAAATTATTGTAACTATCTGTAATTATCTAGCATGATTGTAATATTAGATTTTAGGTCTAAGGAATTGCACTTTTAATTTTAATAGTCACACTTTTTTTAAAAAGTCAACAACATAACTTGAAGAACACAAAATATGTATATGTACATTCATGCATATGTATAACAGTTTATTTAAATAGTTTTGAAGTTGTCAAAATTATTTTGTATTAACAGCTTCATATTAGATATATAATAAAAATTTGTATATTTGTACTTACATCAAATTTAATTTAAATTAGCCTTAAATTAGTACATATATTTTTATAAAACACTTTTTTCTATTCACACATAATAAAAAGTACCTGTTAGTAGATAATTAGAATTTTTTAATATAATTGTTCTATTATTACATACCTATACATAATATGTGTAAATGTATGCATCATGATTATGCTTGTGTGCGAATATCTACATTAAACAATAACGGCATACTGATAAAAACTAATTTAATTTTTCAATAAATAAAGTAATAATCCCTCTAATTATAACAAATTATTATACAAAATTTTTACCACTAAAACTGAGTGCCTTATTTATTATACATCATATAATATGTACGTATATATGTACATATATACTTATTTTTAACATTCTCAAATTTAATCATTTATGAACATCCATTCATACATACATGTTTATATAAATACGAAGCTTTCGAATGTTTAAAAATTTGTATTTTTACAATAAGAGCTGACTGCTTTTTTTAATATTGTATTTAAATTTTTTTTAAATCAGCATTTATATATATATGTATTCGTATATTATTTATACATATTGTTCGTATGTAGATGGATATAGACAAGTTTTTAAAAATAAATAAACAATTACATACTTATTTATTTTTGCTTTTAAAATTTAATCGTACCTTACAAAAAGAATATGATGTATAATAAAAAAAAAAAGCTTAACGGTAGAGTTTAGTTTGCTGTTCGCTGCTGCTGTGTAGTGTGTTTAGCTCGTTCGTTCAACAATTTTATTAATTTTTTTGTTTTTTTCAATAAAGTTTTTAAAGTGTCAGTTATTTTTTTTTTTTTTTGAAACTTAATTTTATTTTGTACAAGCACCTATATACCAGAAAACTTTATTTATATTATTATACCATATGTACTTATTCAAGAATAATATATGTACGTACGTATATAATATATTATATGCCACACATATGCTGAGAAATATCTATGTACATACATTATAATTTCATTCATATACGTATATTTTAAATTGAAGGTATTTTTCTTTACATTATATACAGTTTGTCATACACTGTATTCAACCAAAAAAAAAAATTAATAGTAGAAAAATTTAAAAATACCAAAAAAAAAACAAATGGAAAAAGCAATTATCTAGTTTTTTTACTACTACTAGAAAATTAATAAAAACAACAAAATTGACAACGACGACAACACACATTAACATTAAAATAATAAAAACAACATAATAAATTTTTTCAACTACCATTATTAATATTGTATATTTATAAAATATATAATATTATATACCTAATATATATATTTTTGTATATGTATATATGTGTATGTATACATAGTGATGGTTTGTTGCTCGTTTTATATTGTATGAAATGATACAAAAATATTAAGTACGAGTAAATATTTGCAGCGAAAGAGATCAGTCGCTAAGTGAAGTTAATTGCGTTTGAAAGCAAAATAAAATAATGTTGTACAATAAAAATTCAAATAAAAAATAACTAAAATATTCTTATTGAATAAAAAAGAAATAAAAAAAATAAACTTTTTTTACATAATTTTTTTTGTCTTATATTTGGCATATTTAAATTTTAATAATATTAATTTTACAAACTACAAATGAGAATATTATACGTCATTTCATGCATTTCATGTATTGTAACGAGAAATATTTAAAATATTCTAATATAAATAAACAATACACTTCAAATTAATTAATTTTTATTATTTTTTAAAAAACATTCTGCATACTTAAAATCGACCTACAAAATTTTCTGCAAATTTGATTATTTTACAATTTTAAAGTACAGCAATTTAATTTTGAATTATTATCACGTGTTTGTATTTAATAAACTCTTCAATTTTAAAAAATATTAATTAAAATATATAAATTTATATTCTTGTTCTTATAATCATTAAAACTATCCCCAGTTTGAAAAAAAAATTTTTTGTTTTTAAATTCAGGTTTTTCTAGAAATGAAGACACAAAAAAGAGAATTAAAAATTTAATTTTAAAACTTAACTATTTTATAAATTCTGTGATTGTACGTGCGTGTTTTGAAACACCTTTAAATTATTTAATTTAGCCGTAAAATAGTTTTTTTTTTCTTGAAACCAGTTTAAATTTTTTTCCTGTATCTTAGGTTGAAACATTTTGTATATTAAGACTTTATTAAAATTAATAAATTTATAAACAATATAAGCAAATGAATTGAATTTTTAAAAATTTGAAGTGATTTTTATATATTAAAAAAATTAATAATTATAATTAATAACCGAAACAAATTAAATTCAACAAACGCAAAAAAAAGGCTTAATATTATTAAAGAAAATTTCCTATACGTTTTGCAGAAAACCAACAAGAAAAAAATAAAATTCAATCTTAAAAAACAATAATAATTGTTCTTTTTCAAGAAACAAAGTATATAGAAAATAGTATAAAAATAACGGCAAGGCAAAAGGAAACTATCAACAACAACAAGCTTTGAAATAAAATCTATACAGCGCTATCACATATACATATACTATAAATACACTACTAACTAAAGCGACAATTGGATTACAGTTGGAAGAACAATATGAAAATTGCTTACGAAAGCTAATTTTCATGTAGGTAACAAAAAATGTTTTATTCAGTTTTTTTTTTTTGTTTTATTTATAGATACACATATATACAATCTATATGTTTAATATAAAATTAAAATACATATTATATTAGAAGTTTTTTATATATATATTTTTTTTTAATTATAAATCAAATCAAAATTGATATGACAGCAATTAAATTTTAATACAAAAAGACAAGATCATATTAATATCTTGCAAGAGAGTTGCAATTTTTCGATTAGTATAACAGAATTTAAAATACCTTATACCCATAAAACTAAATATTGAGTATAGAGGGCGCCCTAAAACTTTTCTTTTTTCTGAAATAATAAAATTGTACCCACTCATTGTATAAACAAATATAGACTTTAAATACCAAAATTTTATTTTATTAAAAATATGAAAAATCTTACTTTTGTGTACACAAACCACAAACATGCATAAGTATATTTTGTATAACCATTAAAATGCTCCAATATTTTAAAAGCAAAAATACAAAAACATTACGTGACTGTTTTTTTTTTATTTTACGTGAGATTCATAGCAATTCTCAAAACAAGTATAATTTTTTTTTTTTTATAAACGAACTTGTTTAAATTAAAATGATTCTCGAAACAAAATCTGAAAACAAAAAAAAATACCTTACTTAGGTCTATAATTTTTTAGTTATCAATTTAAATGTGTGGGTATGTGTATATTTACATGTCCAAATATGTATGTATAATGTGTGTACATACATCTGAAGTTTATTGAATCTAATTATTAGAATTAAAAGTATGTATATGTTATTAAAATTACATACGAAAGTGAAAGTTGTCAAATCCAGTTTTAATATGGAAGCGTTCTAAATTAAAACTTAATTCTTATTAAGAAGGAATTAAGTTTATAATAAAAGAAAATATATTTTACGATAAAGAAGAATAGACAAAATTAATTTAAAAACATTTCTTAAAAGAAACTTAATCAATTTCCATAATTCAATTTTAGACCTAATATTTTTATTGTTTAGCTAATATTTACTTATACGAAACAAGCAAACAGAAATTCTAGTTAAGTAATTAACCAACTTTTATAAAGTGGTTGCTAAAATTCCAATAGGTTGCTTAGATTTTCGTATCGCCATGAAAATAAAATACATAATGTTAAATATTTAATATTTGAATAGATTTGATTTTTTTTGCACTTTTCTACTATCATTAATGTTCTGTGTATGTAAAGATGTTAGAAAACCCTGTTTGAAAAACTTTTGTTAGGAAATAATGTTATACAAGATTAAAAACTAAACTGTAGATATAATATAAAAGAATCCATTTTTCGTACAAAAATATTAAGAGCCATCTATTGGGCTTCGAGATAGAAGGTAGAAATACCTTTTATAATATTGTTTTATTTATTAGAATTCACTTATTAAATTATTTTATAATCTATTAACAATTTTGTATTAATTAGTCAATTAATTAGTCAATTTTAATAAGTACTAAAATATATATAAAATATTAAATTAAAATTAAGTGCTAGTGGTACTATAGCATTAATTAAGTAAAACAATAAGAAAATGAAAATAGAAACATATTCCTTTTATAATGGGAATTTTGAATAGTATTCCTAGGGAGGTAATATATGTATGTATATTATATCTCTCTTTGTTGAATTAAATTGCACATACCTTATAATTGACAGAATTAATTTAATACCATAAGCATATTATTAAATACGTATGGATACAATTTGATTTTTTTTTATTTAAATATTCAATTATCTCAAAAGAATTCAAAACTTTTGCAAAATGACGAAGGCAAAAGCTCAATTTTTATTTCATAGAATGTTACAGTTTGTATTTCATATTATTGTATAATAAATGTAAATTTATAAAAAAACAAAATAACCTATATATATATATATATATATATATATATGTATGTACTTATGAATGTATAGATATACATTTGTATGAGAAAATTAAATACTTATGAATAAACGTACAGAATATATGTATGTATATTTTATATACATAAAGTACCTACGAATAAAATTTATATAAAACTTGCGGTTGTGTTTGTGTCTCTTACTTTTTATATACATATACAAACATACTCATATTATTTGTTTTATAATTTATTCTTATACGAAATATCGCGTATAATTAGTACGTTTACATTTTTACATACTTTTTTTTTTAATTTTTTTCCTATCTTTTTTTTTTTGTTATAAAAAAAACGTACACATTCCGTTTCTGTTAATTTGCATTAGTATTAAAAAAAAAAATCTAAAACTGGCTAAAAATTGGCCAGATTATCGTTACTTCAATGCGAAATACAAAACTAGAGTAAATAAAAACCTAGATATTTAATTTTAACCAACTTAGAAAAGAATTTATTTTTGAATGTTATTGATATTATAAAAGTTACCCAGTTTTTATTAATTTTATTTGAATGAACGTTAAATACATACCAACATTCTTGGTTAAAATGAAACGAAGGTCAAGTAAAAAAGATGAAAGAAAAGCAAAATAAAATCAAATTGAATAAATAATAATAAAAGTTAAACACATTAAAATTATTTATGTACAATTTCAGTAAATAAAAAAAAATAGAGGTTTATGCTAAAAAATTGTTTATTCATATAACAGTTTTACTTTCAAATATTTTTAATTACGCTCTTTGCACCTATTCCGAAACGTACTTCTCCAATAGGGAAGCATATAAACAAACTATTTTAGCAAGATGTCAGTGTGTCTGTCTATCAGTTTGTCTGTCTGTCATTCAAGTTCAACTGAACAGATTTTAATAAAAATTTATGAAAATATGATTTTAATTTGGATGTGTCACGGATAGATCAATTTTTGTTATATTAACGCCTCGGGAACTGGAACAATTTTAAATTTTTTAACTGTACGTGTATATGGAACTAACTGAATTTAATATTAAAGTTTTATTTAGTACCAAAACTGAGTTTTTCACGAAATTCGGATGGTATAAAGTGAACCTGAACCAAATTTCCATTTTTGCAGGTATCAAACTAAAAGCTTACTAGAATCATTAAAATTTGAAAAAAGTATTTAAAGGGCATTTTCATAATCTTTTGCAATACTTTTGTTAAATTTAAATTATAGAAAATTTCTTTCCGGTCGGTTATGTGCTGATCGTATCTGATTTTTTATATATTGCAAGTAATTCGTAGCATGAGTAGATAACTTTTATCTACTAAATAAAAATTACTGATATGTTATATATAACAGTCTGAACGTATAACACTTTAAGGTATAACAGTTTCAACTCCTCTAACCTTTAACAATTATTGATTAAAAGAATAGTTGAAACGAATAGTTACTCACATTTATTCCGTTAAATGACTTCACATTTTTTGCACTTTCATTCAATCTGAAACTTTCTTTAAAAACAATACAATTTATTAATTAAAATTTGACATTCATAAAATTAAAAAAGAAAAACAAAATTGTATTCAAATTGATATCAACTTTGTTGTCACTTTTTTAATTATTTATATTGTATGTAAAGAAATTCTATTATATACTCTTATCATTTTTTAAAACTTGTTAATTAAAAACAAGAAAATTAAATACGAAATTCAACAAAAAAAATGAAAAACAAATTGTAAATTGATAACAGTTTAGGTTATCAATTTCAAAACAGCTGATGAAGACTTCATATCGTGTAATTAAAAATCTAATCTTTATACTTTTCTTTTAATGAAAAATTATAATTTCTTTTTATTTTTAATGTTATTCATACGAATACTAATTTGTATATAGAAATTGTAATAATATAGTGCTTAGACTAATTTTAAGCGTATTTACATATATACATACGTGAATATTAATTTAATGTGCATGTGTACGTTTCCATTTAGAATAAATTTATAAATTATAGGTTAAGGCTATAAGTATAGTCAATTATGAATATTTTACTACTAAATGAGGATAAATGAAAATGGATTAGCTAATTGATTAGATATTCAGTTGTCATTTATAGGTAAATAATTTGAGCTAGGTTTGGTTTTTTATTTTTTTTCGTACATAATATACATTATTTATTTTATTACCATAATACTTTGAAATTTAATTGTATTGGTATTACATTGCTCGGTCTATATGAATTAAATGTTTGCTTTTTATTAAGAAGAACACTCTGAACTATATTGAACTATATACAAAGCTATTTTATATTATGATGTAATATAAAAGTAAAACCTAATCTTAAAAACCTAAACATTAAAGTTGGATATTTATTTTCCGTATAACGCCATCTATGCTATAGGAACCATAAAAATATAAGTCTATCAAGCAGTATTCAGTGTACATTATACAGCTTGATAGACTTTAAACTTGTACATTAATACAAAGGCTAGTGTAAATTGGAGCGTTATGCACGAACAATTTGCTATGTTATACGATCGTATAGAATGTTTCATACCCTTCATGCAACACATACATTAATGGGTCACTCTAAAAATGTTAAGAGTCGGTATGACAGTTCATTCATTGAAATTTAAATTTCTTTCTTAGACAGGGGACAAGGAATTACTATATACCGTTAAAAATTTCTGACTAAAGAGGTATACAATTATGTTAGCCGCCTGTAAACAAATATTTTTATTTATAAAAAGAAAATAGACTTTGTAAAGATAGCTTAACATAATCGAAACTTTTGAAAGGCTGTAGTTTAATATAGTAAAAGATATTAACATCAAATTGAAAAGGTATATTAATATTGTTTGTAATTTTGTTTAATAAAAATGTCAAACGATTAGTCTAAATGTCAAGAACCCTTTAAAAATCATATGACAAAACATCACATTTTCAAATGGTTTGACTGAATTTTTTTTCAAGAATTTTTTTAATTTTGCAAAATTCGTCACTTGACTTGAAAAAATTTCTAATATTTGAAACACAAGTTAAATTTTTTATTAAAATTTGCTTTGATTAAACTACATTCATTAAGTGTTAATAAACCCTTATCACAGAAGTTTTGATAATGTAATAA